AGAGGAGGGACGGGGACGAGCAGGACGAGGAAGAGGAAAAGGAGGTAGGGGGCCACGTGCAAACCCGAGAGCTCTGAGCGAAGTGAACACCACCCTCCCCCTCAGACATCGTGGGGGGTAGGGGTAGGGTTCGCGTGTGGCCCCCTAGGAGGGGGAGGAGAAGGCGGCGCAGGGCGGCCAGGAAGCGACGCCGACGCGGGCACGAAGGAATAGGCGTAGCACCCGGCCAGGGGCCGCGCCACGGCGGCCGCGGCAGCATGCCCCGCGGCGTGCCGCGGCAGAGGCAGCCGCAGCCCCGGCAGCCGCGCGGCAGCAGCGCCCGGCCCCAGCAGCCGCGCGGGGCAGCGGAGTGCAGTTCCCAGACGCCTTGCGGGCCGAGGTTCGACCCCGGCGGGCGCCACACCGACGGGGCGCAAGAAGCAACGAGGGCGGCGGCGGCCGGAGGACGCCACCTGGCGACGGCCGCGGCGGGGCCCGGGGGTGCCCACACGCCTGCCCTCAGAGGCGACGACAGGGGCGAAGATTCCCAGGGGAGGGCAAAACGTGTATCCAGGGGCGCCGAGGATTTGTCTTCGACGAGGCTCCAGGGGCGAAAGTGCACGTGATGCCCGCCCCTGGGCTATATTCGCCCTGGTCGTCGCCGCCGATGCCCCGGGGCCGAGGGGCGCGGCAGCTCCCGGCGAGAGCCTGCCAGCGCTCGCCCCAGGGGCTCCCCGCGCGCAGAGCAGCTTGCGCTGCTGCTTGGCCCCCGTGGCGGGCCCGCGGGCCACGCCTGCTGCGCCGCGGCGAGCCTGCAGCTCTGACAGGGGGCAAACAAACCTACCTCGCTTTTGACCACCCTCGCTTCCAAGATATACCAAGCGATGCCAAACCACGGCCTGTACTGGTCAGGTCGCTTGACGAGGAGGCGCGTGGTATGACTTGGTTTTGCCTGGAAGCGAAAGCGGGGTAGGTAATCCCACCAGCCCTCTGGGCGTAGGTGGTCTAGAACAGATCCTCTTCCACCCCTCCCTCTTCCCCCTTGGGGGGGGGTTTACCCCTCCCCCTACCCCCTCCCCTGGACCTGGACGGGGGGGGCCGCGGGTAGTTAGAGCGTCCCAGATGGCCCAAGACGGCTCCAAGAGCGCCTCAGAGAACCCAAGATGAGCTCCAAGATGGCTCAAGATATCGCAAGATCGCTCGAGATGGCTCCTAAGATGGTTCCAAGAAGCCCAAAGACGGCCCCAAGATAACTCCAAGTGGCCAAACAGCTCCCCAAGGAGGCCCCGAAGAGGCCAAAATCGCCCCAAAACCTAAGGAAAATCAATGATTTTTGCTTTCTCGCCTTTTCGCTTCCGATGGCCATCCGAGGCCTGGAGATGGCTCCAAGATGGCCCAAGAGGGCCCCAATAGAGCCCCAAAAGAGCCCCAAGACGGCCCCAAGAGCGCCCAAGAGCACTCCAAGAGCGTTCCAAGAGGGGTCCAAGAGGCGATTTTAGGGGCTTCCGAGGGGGGGCGCTAATTAAACCCCCCCTCTTGTTTGATCGACTCCCTCAAAGATGGCCCCAAAAGCGCCCCGAAGGCTCCCCAGAGCGCCTCAAGAGGGTCCCAAGAGGCGCCCAAGATGCCCCAAGGCGCCCAAAAAGCCCTCCAAGAGGCCCTCAAAAGACCCCCAAGACGCTCCTTCCCCTCCTCCTCCTCCTCCTCCGATTCTTCCTCCTTCTCCGTCCTCCTCCTCCTCCTCCTCCTCCTCTTCCCCCTCCTCCTCCGACGACGACGACGACGACGACTCCTCTTCCATCCTCCCCCTCTCGGGGTCTGTGACAGCTTCCCCCGCCCTTGGTTATTCTGCATGCTCCCCGACTTCCCTGATCACCTCAACTCCCCTGAGCATCGTTTCTGGATGGGCTGGTGGGGATACGCGAAGCGTCAACAATTCACGCTCTGATCTGAGGGGGGAAGGTGTCGGAGGTGCAGAACAAGCGCCTCGCACCAAGCAGTCCCACTCTGTGGGGAGGGGAGAAGTGGGATCGGGCACCCAAGCACAGTCAACGAAGAGAACACGCTGTAGCCCGGGGCCTCAGCCAGACTGCACCGGTGCGGCCTCGAGGACTTCACACAGCTGCATGCTGGCCATGCTCTCGCACATGCCAGAAACGTCAGGGAGGAGGGAGGGAGGGAAGGAGGAGACGAGGAGGGGGGAAGAGGATTCCCAGTGTGAGCTCTTGTGTCCAGTCGAACTCTGCCGCGGGGCTGGTCCTGAGAACGTGGCCGAATGGCGGCCGCAGCGGCGCACCAGCCTGCGACACGCGGGCGTCCACCCAGCACCAAAACGTCAACAAAAACGTGCCCACAATCTGGGCGCGAACAAGCCAATTTCGTACCTTCTGGGGGGCTCCTCCTTGGAGCGCCCCAGCGCCACACCTGCTACATCGCGGTGCCCATGTGGCTCTGAATAAGAGAGGTGTCGGACATACAAAACGAATGCCTCGCTCGAGACATACCGACGATCTAGGTCGTCCTACTAGCGGCTCCCCCTCAGATTGCCCAAATGCCACGCCTGCTACGTCGCGGGGGAGTGTGAGTCTGGCGACGATGCATATGAGTGCACATGAGTGCACATGCGTGTGAGTGGGCTGGGTATGAACAAGTCTGAGTACGAACGAGTATGAGTCCCAGTGAATATGCGTGCGTGGTCTGAGTAGAGTGATACCAGTACGGGTGAGTCTGAATGTGAGTGAGCCTGAGTGCGAATAAGTCTGCGTATGATTGAACAGGTGAGTGAGTCTCAGTACGGGGAGTCTGATTATGAGTGGGTTTGGTTATCACTGGATTTGAGCGAGCGTGTATGATCTGAGTATGATTAGTCGGGGTGTGAGTGAGTCTGAGCGTGGGTGAGTCTGAGTATGAGTGTCCAAGTAAATGAGAATAATGAGGCGAGGGTGAAGGGTGAGTAAGGAAACGGGGGCGCCAAGCTAGTAACCCCATTTGAGGAGACGGCATGGGAGAATGAGCGCAATGTGGGGGGTGATGGGAGGCGTAGGATGTCAGATATGGCGCGCGCACCGACCTTGTCTCCCTCACCCATCCTTTGGCTCCTCCTCCTCCTCCTCCTCCTCCTCCTCCACCACCCCTTCATCTTGCCGTCGCTCGGACGTGCATTTCCCGTGCATTGTTCGGTTTCGTGCGTGTTTTTTTGCTCGATGGTCCAGGATGGTCTTCGATGGTTCTCGCCGAGAAAAAATGCACACGTCCGAGCGATGCCAAGTCATACCGCATCCCCGTCCCCATGCCCCTCCTTCTCCAACACCTCCTTCCCTTCCCCTCTCGCCTCGTTCTCCAGCCTCTCGCCCCCCCTCTCCTCCACACCCGCCCTCCGCGCCGCATCACAAAGAAAATAACGCGCACTGAGCGAATCATCGCGTCGCGTCATCTCCTGAGACCCGACGTGGCGGAAAAGAAGGGCATCGCGAACAATCTCGACCAGAGCCCTACACCCCATAATTCTGCCCCATTTCCCGAGCCCACTCGCGAATCAAAGCGTGGCGTCATGCCCTGAGATCCGACGCGGCGAGAACAAAACGGCGGCATCGCGAACAATCTCGACCGGAGCCCTGGGCCCCATCAGTCTGCGCCGCTCCCCGAGCCCGCTCCACCTCGCCACCGCTCGGACGTCCCCTCCCCGTGCCTTCTTTCGCAGGGTAACCCAGCAAGGCTCCTCGATGGCCCTCTCCGGGAAAAAATGCACACGTCCGAGCGATGCCAAGCCACCCGTGACGGGCCTGGGGTTATGATGTTCCAACCTGTTTTTGGCCTTGATCACGAGAATGAATTTCGAGCACCAAGAAAACACCCCAAAACTTAAGGGTTTTCGCGTGTCGGGCCCTGGGAGACACTCTTTCGACACTCTTTCGACACCTTTCTGGGTGCTCGAAATTACTTCTGGGATGTGGTCCTTAAGTCCGATGGAAACAACATAAGGTGAGGGGGAGGAGGGAAGGCGCATTGCCCCCCCCCCCCCCGCGCCCCCAGCCTCCGGGCTCTCTCGGCGCTCGCTCAGGGCCGTCCTCGGACTCTTTTTTTCTTTTGGGGGGGGGGGCCCTCGGGCTCTCCTGGAGCCCTCTTGGCGCCTTCCTGGGCCACCCGCGGTGGAGCATCTGAGACGGCAGTCGCAGATGGTCCACCCCAGGGTGTGTCATGTAGGCCCCATGTGGTCCTTAAGTACTATGGGCGCAACATAAGCCTGGGGCCCGACGCGGGGAGCACACGCCCGGCGCGACAGCGAAACGTTGCAGCGCCCACGTCCGAGGGCCCGCACAGGAGGCCAGGCACGAGCAGAGTCACGCCGAGGCCACCCGCCGCCTCCCCGCACACCTGCTCCCTCCCGTCTCTCCTCCTCCCCTTCCTCCTCCTCCTCCTCCTCCTCCTCCTCCTCCTCCTCCTCCTCCTCCTGCTCCTCCTGCTCCTCCTCCTCCTCGTCCCCCCCTGGGGAAATCAAGTACTGATACTGCTGCTCCCCGTCCCTCTGTTTCCTGATTTCTGATGGCGTTAGGTCATCGCGGAGGGTGCTGCCATTGGTCCCTGCCCGCGGGTGCCGTGTGGCACTGCGTGCGGGGGCCCCTCCGAAAATGGGCTGGGACACCGTTGCTGAAGGGCCGGCGAGGGACGAGGGGGCAGAGACGGACGGGGGGCCCAAAAGAAGAGGGCGAAGGGGGGCAGAAGGGGGGCAGAAGGGGGGCGCGCTCCTCCTCTCCTCCCCCTCCTCCTCCTCCTCCTCCTCCTCCTCCTCCTCCTCCTCCTCCTCCTCCTCCTCCTCCTCCCCATCGCCACCCCCCACCCCTCAGGAGAAATCTGAAGGTACCGAAACCCTTGCTCCCCAGACCTCCCCCTCCCAAGGTGCGTTCGGACCAGAGTGTCGGGGCGAAACCTGACGAGGGCCCACCGGGAGGCCCAGGAGGGGTGAAACGAGGGAAGGGTGGCATTGGTATGGGTACCCCCCTTTCTCTTCGGGCCCTCGCCGCGTCCTCCGGCTCGATGGCATACTTCAGCCCGCAGAGCCACGCGCCCATCCGGCGCGCGCGGCTCGGGCACCCGTGCCTCTCCGCCCTGAGCCGGCCAGGGGGACGGCCCCCGCAAGCAGTCCGAGGAGAGCGGGGCGGCTCTGCCCGCCACGGAGGGCTCCTGCGGCTCGCCGACGCCCCCCGCAGCTGCTGCGGCCACGTCCTCTGCTGCTCTTACCCTCTCCTCCTCCTCCTCCTTCTCCTCCTTCTCCTCCTCCTCCTCCTGCTCCTGCTCCTGCTCCTGCTCCTGCTCCTGCTCCTGCTCCTCCTCCTCCTCCTCCTCCTCCTCCTCTTCCTCCTCCGCCTCCTGCTGCTCCTCCTCCTGCTCCAGGTCCTGCTCGGTTCTTATCCAGATGCAGCCGTCCCCCCCCCCGCGACCGTCGCCTCTGGGGGAGGGGGCGGCGGGAGAAGATGTAGGGGACGATCGTGGTGCTGTTTCTGCTCCTCCGCCTCTCTCGGGGCCCTGGCACGGCGGTCTCCGTGGGGCCTCCGACGGGCAGCATCTGGATCCCTAGCGCGGCGGCGGCGTCGCCGAGGGCCGAGGAGGAGGAGGAGGGGGAAGAGGAGGGGAGGGAGAAGGAGGGGGAGGAGGCGGAGAAGGAGGAGGGGGAGGAGGAGGGAGAGGATGAGGAGAAGGAGGAGGAGGTCTCCGTGGGGCCTCCGTGAGCTTTCGGGGCTGTGAAAAATGTCCAGGCGTTCCGAGATGCTGGCGCACGCGACGCCTGAGTGCGCCGCCCCTTCCTCCCTCGTTTCCTTCTCTTTCTCCTCCTCCTCCTCCTCCTCCTCCTTCTCCTCCTCCTCCTCCTCCTCCTCTCCTCCTCCTCCTCCTCCTCCCCTCCTCCTCCCCCTCCCCCCCCTCCTCCTCCTCCTCCTCCTCCTCCTCCTCCTCCTCCTCCTCCTCCTCCTCCTCCTCCTCCTCCTCCTCCTCCTCCTCCTCCATCGGCTGCGGCGGTGCACCTCGGTCCCTCGCCTGCCTATGCGTGCCATCCGCCCGGCAGGGCCCCCTTCCGCTTAGGAGGCCTCGGCCGCGGGGCGCGTGCGCCGCCGCTACGACTAAGAAGTTCTGTCCTGGAGAACTCCTCCTCCTCCTCCTCCTCCTCCTCCTCCTCCCTCCCTTCCTTCCTTCCTTCCTTCCTTCCTTCCTTCCTTCCTTCCTTCTAGTTAAAGGCTTAACGACTTCTGCCGTCCTTCGAGTTGCTCCAACTTTCCCTGGAGATCCCTGGATTTACCTGGATGTACCTGGATTTATCTCGATTTGCCTGGATGTATCTCGATGTATCTGCCACTTACCTGGCTGGCTCGATCCCCACAAGTCGATTGGCGAAAAGTCGACAAGCCCTTCGGGACCTTCCTTCCTTTCTTCCTTCCTTCCCCCTTCCTTCCTTCCTTCCTTCCTTCCTTCCTGCCTGCCTTCCTTCCTTCCTTCCTTCCTTCCTTCCTTCCTTCCTTCCTTCCTCCGCAAAAAGCACAATTTCAAAACGTACTGCTATCCTCTTTCCCACGTAAACGTCCTGAGAGGATGAACAAGTACCCATACGTACATCTCCCTTCTCTCGTTCTCCTCTTCTTGGGCCTCCTGGCAGGCCCTCGCCACCACCGCTGCATTCGCCTCGAATTGTTGGTCCGAACGCTGGCCCGGAAGAGGTGCGAAAACTAGCGGTATCCTCCGCGTTGTACTTCACACACAAGATTGGCACAAACTGCTGTTCCCCATGTGGCGGGCGGGTTCCCGAAACCCTGAACCCGAAAAGGTCACCATCTCTTCTGGGGCCGATGTTGAGCAGGGGCCGGCCGTCCTGGCATTCTTATAGTCCTACCACGACATGTTCTTAGAACCCGAATGTGTCCCAATAACAAAAGCAATGATCTTAGAACATAAGCCCGATGTGATAACAAAAACCAGGACAATCGCCGTCAGACATGTTCTGAGAACATTTCGTGGAGACCACAAAAGGTTATTAGAACATTGTTTGGTAGGGCTATAAGCACGCCAAGACGCTTCGCCACTGCTTGACGATGTTCACGCCCGCCGGCTTCCGCCAGCCTTCCGCTGGCCTCCGCTGGCGGAGGTTGCCCCGACATGCTTCCGCCAGCTGCCGCCGACCCTCTGCCGCCTTCCGCCACGAGGAAGAGACGGCAGCTCCTTCGATCCTCGACGACGAAGCCCTGGCTGGACCGCCTCATGATTGATTCGATCCGAACGTCCTCCTCGTCCTCCTCCTCCTCCTCCTCCTCCTCCTCCTCCTCCTGTTCGATCCTTCCAGAATGGCGCTCCCACTGCTAAGTGGGCCTCGTTTGCTCGGATCGGCCCCCGTGCTCCAGGCGGTGAAAAGAGTGGCGCTCTCACCCCAGCGTGAGCCACTGTTCTAGATCCGAGTCCCTCCTTCCACGTAGATGATGATGGTGATGATGATGATGGTGACGATGATGATGCGGCTGATGCTGCTGATGATGATGATGGTGGTGATGATGATGTTGATGGTGATTCTGGTGATGATGATGATGATGATCATCATCATCATCAGCAGCAGCATGAACATCATCATCATGTTGTTCTCACCCCTGATTTCCCCTCTGCTGTCTTCCCCCGGTCATCCTGCTCCAGCTCCTGTGGCTGATGTCCGTCCTCGTCGACCATCCTCCCTCTTCTTCATCCCCTCTCCTGCTCACCCTCCTGGTCATGAGCCCCCGTCTCCTCCAACGTACACGTACGACGCTCCTATTTTTCCGACTGCGCATGGCACGATGGAGATGTCGTTTGGAAGTTCAGGTCCGCTTCGACCCGCGTCGGCGGATAGAGAATCCGAGAGCTCCACAGGACGGGATGGGTGTGAGGCGTAGGATGTCAGATATGGCGCGAGCGCGCCTAGCTTGTCCTCCTCCTTTTCGCATCCCTTCTCCCCTTTCCTTCTTGCCTCTGTCGTCCTTTGTCTGATTCTCCCTCCCTCCTTCTCTCGCTCTCTCTCTCTCTCTCTCGCTCTCTCTCTCTCTCTCTCCTCCCTCCCCTCCCCTCCCCTCCCCTCCCCTCCCCTCCCCTCCCCTCTCCCTGCCGTCGTCGTCATCCTCCTCTCCCTTCGTCTTCTTCTTCTCCTCCTCCTCCTCCTCCTCCTCCGACGACGACGACGACGACGCCTCCGGCAGCGATTCGACGAGAGGCCGAGGCAGGCTTCCCCCGATCTCAAGCTCGGCACCTGCCGCGACAGCCCCGCCCCGCAACATCGCCACATACAGTCGGGGCGTCGACCTAAGGAGCCCTAAATTCGCCGGCCCAACGGGCCAGAGGCGTGCTAAGATCTCCGGTGACTGGTTAACAATTCTCTAGTTCGCGCGCGCGGGGCGGCCCCTGGGGGTCCCCGGACGAAACGTACCCCGGGCGACTCCCGGCTGATCCCCGGGCGACTCCACCAGAGCGCTCCATGAGCGCACCAACAGGGCTCCGAGACGTCCCCGAGAGCCCCAAGAAAGGCCAAGAGGCCCCCAAGAGGCCCCCAAGATGGTACACGAGGGGTCCGACATGCCACAAGATCGCTCCAAGACGCCCAAGATAGCCCCCAGACGCCCCAAGAGGCCTCCAAGAGCACTCCCAAGAGGGCCCCAGGAGGCAAAATTCATTGCTTTTCCTTAGGTTTTTGAAAGATTTTGGAGCTTCCACCTTTTCGGCTTCCCGACGCCCCAAGACGGCCCAAGAGGCCCCCAAGATCGCCCCAAGAGGGCCCAAGAGGACCCCAAGAGGGCCCCAAGATGGCCCAAGAGGGCTCGAAGACGGCCCAAGAAGCCTCCAAGACGGTCCAAGAGGGCCCCAAGAACGCCCCCAAAGGGGCCCCAGAGAGGGAACACGAAACAACATTTCGAGCCCTCGGCCCTAAGAAGCCCCCACGAGGCCCCAAGAGGCCCCTAAGAGGCCCCAAGAGGCCCCCACAAGGCCCTCAGGAGGCCCCCAAGAGTCCCCCAAGCGGCCCCAGGAGGCCCCCCAAATGCCCCCCCGAGCACGCAAGCAAGTGCAAGCGATGCTACAATGTGCTCTCCTTTCGGTAGACTCCCAACGGGGCCCCTACAGACTTGCAACAAGCGTCAAGAACCTGCCCAAAAAGCACTGTCCAGGAGCGTTCACAAGTGCCGCGAAGAAGCCCTCCTTACGCCGGAAAGCCCGGAAAGCCGGGTGGGGTGAGCTGTTCTTCTCACCACCGCGCCCTCTCACACAATGGCTTCCGCACGCCGCCCAGAGCGCGACGTTCGGCTCATGCCCCCAGAACGCTCCAGGAGCGCGCCAAAACGGCACCGGAACGCCCCCGAAACAATCCAAGCGGCCTCAAGTCGCCGAACAATCGTTCCAAATCGCCCAAGATGACCTCAAAATTGCCGTCGAGGCCGCCAAGAAGCCCCAAGAGAGCCTCAAGAGGCCCTCCAAGACGGCCATTACAATCAAAAATCGTCCCATTCCCAGAGGAACATGTACACTTCCCGCATGAACGGCGTTTCGAGTTTCACAGCGCCTCAGACTACGCAAATAGCCCCCAACATCGCCCCGAGACAGCTCAAAAATCCGCTAAAATCGGCCCAAGACGGCCCAAGATATCCCCAAGACGGCACAAGAGAGCACCAAGACCGCCCAAGAGGCGCCCAAAGGGGGATTCTGCCCCTAGGAGCACCTCAGAAGCCACCAACATCCCGCCAATAAGTCCCCCAAGACGCCCCAAGAACCACCCAAGAAGCCCAACAAGAAGCCCCAACGACCCCCAAACGGCCCTTACAGGGCCTCAAGAGGCTTCAACACTGCCTCCAAGAGGTTCCCGAGACGCCTGGCAAAAGAACCCCCAAAGCGCCGCATTGACACAAGGCCCTGGGGCAAACGGCAGACATGAGACTGCATGGGCCGGCGGAATGAGCGAAGCGATTATAAGGAACGAGGCCCCTATTTTCCATAAGTTAAACTTCGAGTTCCCATCGAAGACACAAGGACCACCTAAGGCAAGCTGTAACA